TACTCCCCCCTCCGGTGCCAGCCAGGTCTCGGTGATGCACGCCAGGTTAGCCTGCTCCTCCCCAATAAGGTCATGAATAAGGAGAGCCTTATTATTGACTAACTGTTAACTATGTTAACTCTAGTTTTAGGAATCTCTTAAAAAAAACAAAACATTTTTTTCTTGGCCTTTCCAGCCACTAACTCCTGTTAATCTTTCTGACGGAATTTATTGTTGTTACCTTGTGTTACTCTTGCTTTATTCTTTTAAAATCAATTTTTATCTTGTTTTTTCTTTGGAATGAATTTATGGTTATTATAAATACTGGAATTTTCTATTAATGTGCAGCAGTACAGGAATGCATTTCATAAATGCAAAGCTAGTACTGTTTTAAGGCAGTGGTTCTCAAACTTTTTTTATCTGTAGTTCCACCACGATGGAAACAAAAAGCTCTTTTTTTTTCAAGAAAGACATTTATAAGCATTATGTTATTAAAGTTTCAATGACTTATCCTGTGTCCCACTTAGATTATTTCTGAACCCTGTGTGGATTCCATGTGAACAAGAAAACATTTAGAACTCTTCAGATCCAACTTGGCCTGAAGATTGAAAGATAAGATTAGTAATGCTGGCAGATTGACTTTCAGGGAAGTTCCCCCCATTATTAATTTTGTCATCAGTTTCTGGCAAATTTCCAGGATAGCTCCCTCAAAGCCACTACTCTAGATGGAAGGAACTGTAGATTCTCAAAAATTGTATTGCACATGGGGAGCAAAGTTCAGTGTAATTTTTCCCCCAGTGAGGCATATTTGCCATGCGCCCTGCTGTATAGTGAGTGAGCCCAGAGCTGGTGTCTTCACCCATTCAGCAGAGACGGCTATCTGGAAATCTGAGATTGGTTACTAAGTGAAGTGAGTACTAACTCACAGCAGCTGAGTGGGAGGTGGGCTAAATTTTGTGGCGGAGGATGTGCTATTCTTTTCCAACTCCAAGGCTGCTAGGGCATGGCAGTAATAAGGACAGTGTCACTAGACAGCGTGAGGCTGGAATTTTCAATTCTTTCTGTGCAGGCCTTTTTGATTTTTTAAAAAGTAAAATAGGTCCATTAAACTTACTGGAAGCTCAGTATGTCTATTTCGATTCTTTTTTTCCCCAAGAAACCCAGAATATTTACCCATGACTTTCTTCTAGCAGCAGCAACTGAACAGTTCTTCATATCCAATGCACTACCTATATTTTTGAAGAGAAAATGAGAAAAAGTGTCTTTGCTGCCACACCTAGGGCTACTGATGCATACATGTGTGTATAAATCTATGTATTCTTGGCCAGGGATATGAAGAATGCTCAGAAGCAGTGCTTCTTTGTTGCTGCTCTGGTGTTGTGAAATAAGTTCTCACATGAGATATAGATGACTGCCATTCTGGTGAACTTCATAAACTGCTCAAGATTTGGCTTTTCTGACAAGCCTTTGGAAATGGACATCTAGTGCTACTCTTAATTTGATTGTGTGTTTTAACTGACTTTATCTTATGGTTGGTATGGTTTTAGTGAGGGCTTGATATGTTTTTTATTAGGTTGTGAATCACCTGGAGTTTTATTCTGGCAGGATTCAAATACTGCAAAATGAGAAATAAGTGGCCACCGAAATTTGGCCACCACTTGAAATCCAGCTCCTGGGAAAACCTAGGCATTAGTTCTTCAGCAAGGCTGAGTTATTGGCAGTGGTACAGAATCTCCTGTCACTTCCATTACAACAATGCTTGTACAAATTCATGATTTAGGTGTTGATTTCCATAAAATTCAATGGGTAGCATGTTCCAGTGTGTGTGTAGGACTGCACAGTCACCATCCCTATGTATTGATTCATGGAGTTAGAAATAAATGACAGATGGTGACTAAAGTTTTTATTTTAATGGATATTCAGAAGTCAGTGATACAGAGAAAGAAATCAAGTTACAGGAGAGCTAACTTGGTAATAAAAATGGGAAATGTGATTCCTTTACTATATAGTATTTGGATGAAACTGTCATGAAGTTGACCAGGTCAAATAAAAATGTGCCAGGCTAATAAGATATTTAATACAGCCTTCCGTAGTTCATTGTCCTCCAGCTGCCTGATGAATGATGGGAACTGTAGTCCAATACATACAGAAGTGTGACCTTGACCAGTGAGGAAAACTAAAAACAAAAAAACAAAAACCCTTTTCTCATTCATCTCTCTTCTTATTTGAAAAATGTTCATAGTAAATTTAGCCTTTTTATAAATAAAGGATGATGGAGATTTTTAAGTAAATGTTTTAGCTGAACTGTATTTTGCAAGATTTTAAGAGTTTACAATATGATCTTGCTTTTGTAGATTAGAATTTATTTTTATATTACATTGTGGAAATATGATTATAAGTTTTTGTTCTCATTTACTGTAGATTTGTAAAGTAAAACAAGTGACATAATGCTTGTCATGAAATATGTACTCACAACATGTGTGCTATGTTGAACTATACACATGCCAAATTATTTGATGTGATGTCTGTTAACTACCTGAAAACCTGATTCTTTTGACTACTTTGGATATCTTACCTACCTTTTTATTCAGAAAAACAACATTCAGAGTACAAAAACATAATGTGCTTTCATCCAGTTTTCACAAAAGGCTTCAGATAAAAATTTGCATGCTTATTTATATCAGAAATGTATTCAGTCATTTCAGTAAGACCTTGATCATAGTGTAAATAGCAATGTTTATTCACAACCCATTCTCTGCACAGATGGATGCTTATTTTGGCATGTAGATCTCTTTTGGTAGATAATATAATTATCCTTTCTGAGATGGCCTACTGTGAAAAAAAAACTTATATACAGTGGTGTGCTGAAAAATGTTTAACAACCAGTTCTGCTGGCTCCATTGCTGCCACTTTGCCACACCATGCTGCTAACTGCCGAACAGCTGAGCAGTGCAACTCACAAAATTCCAAAAAATTAGCAGTTGTCTCTCATGAGCCGGTATGAGCCAGCTTCACCACACCACTGCTTATGTAGTACTTGTCCTTATTGCGATTTACAGTCCAGGATTTCCAGATATATACTAATTTCTCTAACATCAAGGATTTGCTATTTTCATATCTTCTTTCAGAAAGATTTTTTTCCCACTGTAGTTTCTCATGAAATACCGTCCTGTGACAATGTGGCCCATCAGGCTGAAGTCTGGTGAAATCCAGGTTCAAGTCCTCAATTAATCAATTTTGAAAGTCCCTGGATAACTGTGAACATTACTATTTCTCAGCCCAACCTACCATGCAGGATTGTTATGGGGAAGAAGAAGGGGAGACCTCCATGTGAGTTAGGATAAGCTCTTGGAGATAAGACTGGGTGTTAACAAAACCATAATCATGAGATAATATGTTACAACAGCTAACATAGGGTGCCTATTTACTTTCTAATCATGCATTTTTGAAGGTTTTTACTGGGGGCGGGGGCAAGATAAAAATCAAAACGGATACAGAGGCTTAAGACATCCACCTTCTCTTGAAACCCCTCAGACCTCTCCAGAACTGCAAGACTTGGTCCCACCCACTTTTGGAGTATGGCCTCCAAGATGACAGAAGTAAATTTAGATGGCACTTGACCAGATTATATATATGGCAGATTCTGCAATGTTTCAGTAATATATGCCCACCATACTGCAATTGTATTCAGAAAAAAATACTAGCATAGAGGTATTTCAGGAGTTTTTTATATAAATTCTGCCCCAAAACTTTAGCTGTTCAGCCAGGATAACTCATTGCTGGCTTAGAATCATCTGGAATTTTTTAAAGGAATAATAGTTTTTGAAGGAATAATAACATAAAGCAGCAAAATGGAGCAGAGGGTGAGGGATAGGAAGGAAGAAATGCCCCCCCCCCCCGCAACTGGATAAAATGAAACAACTGATCAGTTCAAATGTTTGAACTAAATCCTAACTTTAATACAGTTTCCATTACTTGTTTTCTAGCTCATTGTGGAAACTGAAGAATTAACACTTCTTAACCAATCACTCTGAAGCTTTGATTCTTCCCCTGGTGACTCTCAAGTTTTCTCCCTTGGTTCATTTCTTCCTGCAAGGTGAGGTCTTCTTTCAGGTTCAGCCATGACGACTTCTGCCTTGCGTCGGCAGGTAAAAAACATCGTGCACAATTATTCTGAAGCAGAAATCAAGGTGCGTGAAGCCACCTCCAATGACCCCTGGGGACCCCCCAGCTCTTTAATGTCTGAGATTGCTGATCTGACCTTCAACACAGTGGCCTTTGCAGAGGTCATGGGTATGATCTGGAGGCGGCTGAATGACAGTGGCAAGAACTGGCGTCATGTCTACAAGGCCCTAACTCTTCTGGACTACCTCATTAAAACAGGCTCAGAGAAGGTAGCTCATCAGTGCCGGGAGAATCTGTATACCATTCAGACTTTAAAGGAGTTCCAGTACATAGACCGTGATGGCAAAGATCAGGGCATCAATGTTCGTGAAAAGGTGAAGCAGGTGATGAGCTTGCTGAAGGATGAAGACAGGCTGAAGCAGGAGAGAGCCTATGCCCTGAAAACCAAAGAGCGGATGTCCATTGAAGGTATGGGCATCAGCAGCAGCAATAGCAACAGCCAGCAGCTTGCCTATGGACGGCGGGCATCACAGTATGGTGATGACTACAGCAGATCAAGAGGTTCTCCATCCTCCTTTAATTGTGAGTACTGCAGGGGTACATGGCTGAGCCACCTTCTGTCTGATAGATCAAGTCATCTTTGCCAACGGAAATTTGAAGGAATGTATAATCTAATTTGTGAATACTTTCATGGGGACTGGTGGTCGTGTAATAAGGTTCATGGACCTCTTGATCTAGCAGTTGCAATACATTGCAATGAAAAGATGTAAGCATATACTTTTGGGGGTGGTTGTTTGTAACATTGCTTCAAATGTTTCCAAGTTTTCCCCATTTATTGCAGTAGAACTTGAAAAGTGAAATGTGGCAAGTACCAAGTAATGT